CGAAATCGCCACTTCTGAAGCGTTTAAACCAATCTTTACAGGTAGTTTTCGATGGTGCATGTTTGCCGTAGGCTTTCTTAAGCAAACGACCTGCTTCAGCTGCATTTTCTTTCAAGTTGAAGCAGAAAAGCAAAGCTTCCCGCAAATGCTGTTTAGTTGGCACAAAACTCGACATCTTTATTGTTAGAAAAAAAATTTTTGCGTTGCGATATGTGTTGGTATTATAACTGGTTATTGTTGACAGATGTCCAAGTTAATAAAAAACACAACTTTAGACATGTATATCGACTACATGTATCGTTAGCGCCATTCATGTGTGAAACCCGGAAACTTAGTTGCGCACCTAGTATAATCTGGTACAAATGTGTCAATTTTTCGCCGACTGTAATCGTTGTTGCCGGTACGAATTTCGCACGATATTATTCAATTACGATATATACTACAACAGTTAGCCCGACGTATGCAGGCGCTCATTGTGAACGCAAGGTGCGATTCCGCAACCTGGGATCCCACAGCTAGGGATGCGTTTGTAATTCCATTTACCACATAAGTGGATGGTGCAACGTGCAGATGGCATGCTTAATAAAGTGTACTTAACCGAGTCGAGGCTGAACCTGCGCCTCGACCCGGCCTCGATTGCATTCGCGTTTCGTATCCCCGCCACCGGTATTCGAACCACCGAATGTCTCAGAAGACGGAGAACGTCCCGCCGCGACAAATGCATAATTGCATTACCAATTGTCATAGACGCGCATACCAGACGTTCTTGCGGAACACGGGTGAACTATTGTTCAAAATGATATTAACTGACTAGAACTATTCGCTCATTTTTGCTCGCAATATATTCTAAAGCTAAATGACATATGCGCAACCAAATTTTGAATGGAATTCTCCTTATAATTTTTTATGTATCACATAATACAAAAAAAGAACAAATCGTAATGCACACAAGTACAAAATTGTACGACAAATATATTTATATATATAAATATTCAAATATTCAAATATATTTAGAATCGCGCGCGCGTTAATTTTAAAATGCCGCGACTAATCAATTGACAAATTGATTGGCATACAATTTCTGAAAGACGGAAGTCAATTAGAGAGAATTAGGCCGTCTTCACATACGGATAGCGTACGAAAACTAATGATTGCGTCTCGACTTCCCGACGTTTTTGATTTGCCAATAACAACATATCTATATAAATAACGAGAATATTCTGCAGCTGTGATTCGTGCAATTATAACCGCTATCCACTAGCGCTACGCACCGCTGGAAGACGAAAGTAGTGGCCGTGACTGCAAATAATTCCACGGCCGATCGTATTAGAAATATTAGCGAACACTCGCACATGCATGCGCATTTTTGGCGGTCTCCCGATATCGCGAGACTACAGTGTATTCGAATCCTTGCCAAATTGGCGACAGACACCGTCGCTGTCCGTCCGTTCATAAATTTGTAAACATCATTTGGCAGAAAAATAGTATTTAGCCTTAAATTTTGAGAGACTGTTGCATCTTTTTAAGCAAATTTATGTCAAAGATAATATCAAGTTTCCTTTTAATTTATATTTTTTTATTTTATTAAATAATAATAAAAACTGAATTTCTAAAGAATAACAACCTATGTATATAGTTCGTAGATTACATTAATTAATTTTTTTAAATTGCAAAAATTATAAAATAAAAAATATTAAATATTTAAAAAGATATGTAATTAAATATGTAAAAATGCAAATAAAATATTTGAAAAAAAGTGGACAAAAGAGACAAATATCAAAATCTAGAATATCTTAACAATATTCAAATATATTTGACATATCTCGTTATTTTTTTTCGATAAAAGAAATATTGTATTATATAAATATTTATCAGCAAAATAAAGATGAGGCTCTAAAGCCGTGAAAGTATATCATGCATAGACTATTAACTTAAAAAGTAGCATATTTGCAAATACGATTACATTCGACACGTGACAACTTTCACGTACACGTAAATGATTCTTCT